GTCAGAACTGGCGGTCAGTTTCAGCAGCGGCTGAATCTGGACGCCAGTTCCGACTTACATACAGATTCAACTTAAGAACAAACCTACAGTCCCTATCTTGTACGTAACCCGGGGACTGCCTGTATAGCATATATCATATCATTAACTGTGCACCTAGATTTTGTGGTTTTTCTTTTTGCTTATTATTATTGATTATATTTTTGGTATGCTTTGTTCTCTTTCAGGAAGGAGTGATGACAGAATCTGAGATGCAGTGTGTTGTTCATTGCAAAAACCCTTCTCAGCTGCCAGGAATGTGTTGCCCGACTTGTCCGGGTAAGATATTTGGGAGATTATACTCTTCATCTGAGCATAATATTTCTAGTTATTGGAATTGGGTAGATGTCCACTACAATGGAGGGATTAGGAAGAAAGTTACTGAAATGTGGACAAAGAAAATAGAACATATTGAGTGGTGTAAGAAATAGAGTGACTAGATTTTTTTTTTGAACACCCAAACTGGGACATGTTTTTAATGGTGTTTAATAGGAAAAAAAGGTAGTATAGAAATGTGCTTAAGAAATTTAGAAGGCAACTTGACTAGTTTTTCATGTGTGTGGTATTCCAGAGGTTTTGGCAGCTGTGCAAGTCTGGCTGGGGTTTATGTTTTAGGGATAAATGCAGAGAAGGCAAATGGATTGGGGCCAGGAGTCACAAGTCGCAGTAGAAGTAGGAAGAGAGTCATTTGGGGAGTAGAAATATGGAGCTTATGTTGATTCTGCAGAGGATTATTTAGGCTCAATGTATGATATGACTGGGTGATAATAAGAGATGGTTTGTAGGGTTGTTTTGTGGATAGTTTTGTCAAAATAGCCTTTCTTATAGGAACGTATAACTAGGAGAACATTGCTTCTTTAGTGGTATATTTGGCATGGTATGTTTCATTTGCTATTATATCATTCCAGATGTAATGTGGATAAGCACAGTGGTGAAAAAATGAAATCTTCTATAAATAGGGAGTTGATTTATAATGGTAGTCCTGAGGCAATGTGGCACAAACTGTCTGCCATAAAGGACATTCTTTATGTAAATCTGTGAAAGCTCTCCTTCATCATCCTCCATTCTGGCACAAACCTGACTTTTTAGAGGTCCTAAGACTTACACAGGTTACATTTTGTTGTGGATGCATATAACTGAAAAGGAGAAGTCACACTTACCCAAACTCTGCTTTTCAGGTTGTATATTTGAAGGTAGACATTACCACGAAGGGAAGGAATTCCAGCCTGAAGGAAACAAATGCACCAAGTGTTCTTGTATTGTGAGTATTTCTCTCTGATATTGTAGCCACCAGTATGATCTTCAAAAGTCATTATCATCATCATCATCATCATTATTTGCAAAATTATATAAGGGAGGTGATATGAATACACATGCTTCACTCCTTTGATTTTTGGAGTTCAAGCTTTATTTGAAGATTTGACTTCACATTTACTCTTTATAGCACTACTTACTTTCAGAAAGCAATATACTTTTCACAACTATGTGTAGTTGAGGAAAATAGAGCAATGTATTGGTGACCTGGGGATTTGATGTTCCAAATGGTGGGCTGGTTCTGAATGAGAGCCTTTTGTTTCTTGTTGAGATCAGGTTACAGGAAAATATGATAGTAAATGACATCTATTGGCCAACATCTATTTTATGTATGTGTCCTACTGATCTTGCATGAGGTTTCACATCAGAAGCACATGGCAAGGTGCATAAATGAATCCTGTGGGTTATGTTGCTTAATGAATGGTAGATGGCTAAAAAAGTTCTCACCACCTTTACTTGCCTTTTATAGACTGGCTGATTCAGTTGGCATTGTGTTGGTGCAGCTCTCACCAGTGAACTAATTGGTTCAGCATAAGCCTTTTGAGGACTAAATATTAAGATGTGGTTTTGTACTTTTAGCATCCTAGGAATTGTCCCATTACAAAGACAATGATCTGAGTGTTTACATCTACAGTGAAACCTTTGTTATCTAGCACTCTGTTAACCAGTATCGTTGCCCGCAGCCATAATTCTGTCACATCTTCAGGTGCACAGGCCTGGCTTGGTTTACCATGATTGGCTTAACAATTTTTTTTATTTAAGAAGTACTAATAATCTTTAACTCAAAATAGAAATGTGAGACTAACTGCCTCACACTACAAAATTACCAATATTAAAAACTTGAGTTTTACTATTATTGTCCATTGGTTTTTCCTAGGTTGATGAAACCCTCAGATAACTGGAATTTTTAGATAACCAGAATGCACTAATCCCCAAATGTGGCGGATAACACAGGTTTTACTGTACAATCATGTGAAGCCCCAGAATAGAGGTAACTTGGGAAGTTTGCAGATGTAAAAACTTCCCTCATATCCCACTGGATCCCTGACTGAAATGTCTAAACTTTTTTTCCAGCTCAGTGCTGGATCATCATTCTCATCATCTGCAGATGATAATGCTCCTGTGTATTGATTGACATCTTAGAAACAGTTAGATTTTATATAGTAGTGCTTTTTATTTTTGGGCCTCAATGAGGCTTACAAAGGTGGGTAAGTATCATTATCCCATTTAATATGGGGAAACTGAGATGTAGAATTTAAACAGCTTGCTCTGAATCACATAAGTCCATGTCAGAGCCAGGATTCAAACTTGGATCTCATGGCTTCTAATTCTATGTCCAAGTTCATTTCTTGGGGCTACCCTACAGCGGTTTTAGCTTGACACTTATGAAAGGGCGTACTTGGGCTCTTATCCTTGTCCTGCAATTTTGTGTATGATTAGCAATTGCATCCTTGTCTTGATGAGATTGTTCCCAAACGTCTTTAAGAGGCATATAAACTGATAAAGAATAAGAAGTCACCAGAATCCAATGGTATGTCCCAAAAGTTCTGAAGGAAATCCAGTATAAAACTTCAGGATTATTAAATGTGGTATGTTACCTGTTACTAAAATCAGCCTCTAAACCAAAGGACTGGTTTTAATACCATTTTTTTAAAGTAATTACAGTCCAACAACCCTAAAGTCAATACAGGCAAATTGATTGAAACTATAGTGAAGAACAGAATTATTAAATACTTAGGTGAACATAATATAATACAGATGAGTCAACACCACTTTTGGAAGGGAAATCTTGCTTCACAAATCTCTTAGAATTCTTTGAGGGAGTGAACAAACATGTGGACAAGAGCAATCCAGTGGATATTAGACTTTCAGAAAGCCTTCAACAAGGTCCTTCATGCAAACCCTTATGCAAATTAAGCAGTCATGGCATAAGAGGGAAGGTCCTCTCATGGATCAGTGACTGAAAAAAAGACAGGAAACAACGGTAGGAATAAATGATCAGTTTTCAAAATGAAGAGGGTAAATAGCAGAGTGCCCCCAAAGATCTGTACCGGGACCAGTACTGTTCAATATATTCATAAATGAGCTAAAAAAGGGGGTAAAGAATGAGTAGCAAAGTTTTCAGAGGTACAAAATTATTGAAGATACAAACCTCTTTTCTGGGTGTCCCTGAACCTTTGGCTGTCAGAAACTGGGACTGGATGAATGGGGTAGATTTCTTAAAAAATTGTTCAGTTCATTTCCTTGGAAGCATTGTCAACTATTGGAAGAGAGGATACTTAGCTAGATGGACCATTGGTCTGACCTAGTATCTGCTATTCATAAGTTCTTATGGTCTTACATTGAAATCAAACCTTAATACCACTTAGGAGAAAAGACATACTTCATTAAGTTGCTCTATAAGACTAGTAAAGTACAAGACTTGATTGCTAATATAACCATGGATGGGCAAAGTGTCAGCAATAATTACGTGACATGTGCTTTAAAGTTTCAATAGAGACAGACAATGACTTGTAGCACTTACGGCTGTCTTTTTTTTTTAAAGGGAAGACTAAATGGTGTTTTAGAAATATCTTTTTCTAATGTTACTGCAAAGATGTAAAAACATTTGAAGGAAAAAGTCAGCTTCTAATCTGTGGAAGTGCTACTGAGTTATGACTAAATCATTGTTACTGTAATAAATTAGCATAGTCATAGACTTGTTTCAAGTTTTCATTTTTAAAATACATTGCATATATTCCACATAAGGCCTCTGAGGCTAGGTCTAGACTGTGGTGTTTTTGCGGAAAAAGCTACGCAAAGTACGTTCCGCATTTTGCATAGCTTTTTCCGCCTTTTTTTTTTTTTTGGAAGAGGCTTTTTGGGGCCACATGGTGGAAAAGCCTCCTCTTTCGGCAGAGCCACTATGCCTCGTGAAACAAGGTATACAGGCTCCCCAAAAGAATGTGTTTACTCTTTCGTGGAAAAAAAATAGAAGAGCAAATGCGTTCCTTGGACACTGGAAGTATCCTGTAACAACCCTGTGGTATAGACATAGCCTGAAATGCTAAGTGTCTTCTGTGAGGTGCTGAACATTCTCAGCTCCCAGATGTGGTCAATGGACTCTCCTTTCACTTGAAACTGTTTTATGCTTTTAGATTGGTGTGAGTTCATTGGCTTCACTGGGCTTTCTTCTGATTTCTACTAGCCCAAGTGACTGGGGAATTAGGTTTAATGGCAATTGAGGCTACTCAGTGCCTGGCAGGAAGTGCTTAATATTTTATAAGATATGACCTGTAATGGTCTAAATTAATCCTTGGTATAAGTAGGTGCAGCCCCTCAGAGGGCAGTGGAATTATGCTTGCCCAGCATGCAGGTTTGGCTGTTAGGCTGTGTCTACACTACATGCCTCTGTCGGCAGAGGCATGTAGATTAGGGTTGTAGGCAAAGGTAAATGAAGCCGCGATTTAAATGATCGCGGCTTCATTTACATTTACATGGCTGCCGCGCTGAGCCGACAAACAATCAAAGCCCTTTGTCGGCAGCCCCGGTAAACCTTATTCCACGAGGAATAACGGGGCTGCCGACAAAGGGCTTTGATGTCGACAGGGGGCACGTCCAGGCGGCTTCATTTACATTTACATGGCTGCCGCGCTGAGCCGACAAACAATCAAAGCCCTTTGTCGGCAGCCCCGTTATTCCTCGTGGAATAAGGTTTACCGGGGCTGCCGACAAAGGGCTTTGATTGTTTGTCGGCTCAGCGCGGCAGCCATGTAAATGTAAATGAAGCCGCGATCATTTAAATCGCGGCTTCATTTACCTTTGCTGAATAAACAAATCTACATGCCTCTGCCGACAGAGGCATGTACTGTAGACGTACCCTTAGTGACTGCCACTTTGACTTCATCAAACAGGGATCACATGTTACTCTGCATAATGAATTGCCAACACCCAGTTCTTTCTTTATCAAACCTCCTCTACTTCTAAAAACCCAAAATCCGCACAGCTGCACTGAGTGAGGTAAGATGTGACATTTGTCATGGGGAGAAAAGAGGTGGGAACCTAATGGATCAGATCCAAAGTCCATTTGTGTCCTGCCTCTGATACTGGCCTGCGCCAGCTACCTCAGGGAGGAGGTCAAAGAATCCTGCAAAGGTAGATGTAGGATAATATGCTCTTCAGAGAGGTCTCATTGTAGCCTCTAACAATTAGAGGTTGACTTAAACCGTGAACATGAGTTTTAATATCCATTCCGAAAAAGGCTGTAGTATTTCATTATCACTGCTGGATATTTTGCATCTTGCACACAGTAACAAGGCAGTGTTCTTTTGTAACTCATTGTTATCTCTGTTGCTTCCTCCCCACCCCAGTGACAGCTTCTTGCCTATTTTGTTTTCTTCAGAATTTGGGGCCATCTTACCTCCTATGTAATTTAAATTGGAGACAAACAATGGACCAGCTTAAGAACTCTGATAGCAGTTCTGGGTTTTTGCTTTAAAGAAGGGGTTTGTAGTGAATCTCTTATCTGAGCGGTCAGCGGATGTCTTATTTAAGATACCTATCTAGTCAGGCGATAGTATGGGAACAGGCTCATGAGTGATGTGCTGTAACATGTGAAGACTTTATTAGATGAAAGGTATTTCCTCACCCCTAATTAGATTTCTGCTGTCAAGTGAGATTGGAACTATTCCACATGGCTATTGGGGAGAGGAGAGGAAGTGGAAAAAAGTTTCTGCAATGCTATTTTTTTGTAGTGATGACAAAGGACTTGTGGATATAAACACCTTGTTATAGTCACATTTTAGTGTTAGACAAAACTAGGAACTAAGAACTTATCTGGCTAATGATTTATAGTGGTGGGTGCAGAATATAGGTTGTCATATCTGATCTATTAAATGGCCAGGGGATTAAAGTTAACTGTTAAAATTGGGAGAACAAGAATGAACATCGTTTTCTCTGAAGGACAGT